GAGAGAAGCAGACAGCTTAAGTTTCACTTTCACTTTGCTCTGTTACTGCCGAGAGCCTGCCGAAGTCATGGGAGGGGTGTGTGGGGTGGGGAGGTGTGCACCGTGACGAGGAAGTTCGGCTTCAAGACACGTCCCAGAGGCGTTTCTGGTCCCCACCTGTCGTTTTGCTCCTCAGCATGGCTTCATAAAAACACTGCAGGATTTCTCGAACATGCATGAATGAGTCAGAGCAAGGCTTTGGGCATGTTTTTTTATGAGTATAACATTATAACATGATATAAAACTCAAAAAAGTTGATTTTACATGATATTGCCCCTTTAATACCAAATATCACTGTGACACCAAAGTTATCATTAAAAAGCATTTCACTTGTGTTAGTGTATATCAAGTAGAGCAGAAAAATCCTGTGACAGATCTGTTGGTTCGTCAGTTTTTGTGCAGACAGCAAAACAGAGCAGCACAGGCTCCATTATTTCTGCTATCAGCTACATGGTTTTTAAGTCACTGAATCTGATGCTTCAGCCTCAACAGATAACTTCAAAGATTCTTATAATCTCCACCTCGGACTGATAAAAGATATGCATCATTTTACTGTCAACGTTGAAGGAAGTTTACTTCCTCAAGCAAAATTCTGCTCTGACCCTTTCAGCAAACAGCTTGTTATCTGTTGTCTACATCAACATGAGCAGACCTTTACTCCTCCATCACTTCAGCTTCCTCTCCCAGCATGGGAAAAAGGCTGGACTTGTTGCATTTCTCCTAAAATCCGAAGCTCTGCTTTTTCTTTTCCTGTCGGTGTAAAACAACCCTCTTTGCCTGATTTATTGTTGCATTAAATGAAGAGAACTTCATATTTTTGTAAACAGCACAATTAAATTAAATCACACAAATGAAACATTTGTTTAAGACGTTCTGTTTTTACAACATTTCTTTTTTTTTATTTATTTGCAAGGCAATCCCGAGAAATATTTTAATGAAAAACACACAAAATGTAAAACACTAACAGCAGACATCTCATTATTCTCAAAGTATCCTTTAAAAACACATAAAACAAGTTGTATAAAAACAAAAAGTAAACGGAAATTGTTTTGCAGAAGCCAGATTTTCTCTCAGGAGCAGATCAGAAATTGTTTTCTTCTTTCACAGTAAAGATTATTTTGTGAAAATGTAATCCACTAATCATATTTACTAGTCTGCTTTTGAGTAAGTGTAGGAACAATACATTTAAAAAAATCCACTTTAGTTCAAGCATTCTTTTTAAAGACTGCATATTACCCACCTCTTTTCGTGCCAGAGCAAATATCTTCTGATGATAAGGGGTGGAGTCAAAAATGGAGATGAATGTTACACATGGTCTTGTATTCTCAGAGTATGTGTTGGCAGGGGCGGAGCCAGGGGGTGGCCAGGGGTGGCCATGGCCACCACAGACAAATCTTTGTTCACCCCATTGGCCACCCTGCTGTACACACCCCTTATTTAGGGGTGTAATAATCCTCCTGAACAGTGGTGGCAGTGTTTAGCTGTTTGAAACATCACCAAACTCAAAGAAGTGATTGTTTTCCTTATGTACAGAGCATATGCCTGTGTAATCTGACTTATGGTGACAATGTTTTTTGTCACCATATCACAGTGTCATTTTATGTTATGAAGGCTGCACGATGCTCTGCTCCTTTTGGTTATGAGCGACTTATCACAAAAAAAAGTGAAATGCCCCTTTAAATTCACTGTTGGTGGTTATCAATATTGCACCTGTTCATTGGGTAAAGTTATTAATATTAGTTTTAAAACATGCAGTTGAAGGTCATCATTATTTGGCACAATGGCATGTGTTAAAATTAAAAATAAATCAATGAACAATATAAAAGTAAATAGCACACCTAAAATTATTAGATATGATAAATTGTGACACATTAATTAACATTATCTCAGCTGTAGCAGTGAGTTTAAAACAGGATGATGGAACTAGTTTAATGAAGAATCTGTCTCTGAAATTATATGTAAATATATGTTAAACAACCTGGTAAAATACACCAGAATTCTGGAAAGGGCCTTTATTCATTCAAAATTTTCTGGGGGAGGTCCCCCAGACCCCCCAACAGTGTGTCCCCACACATTTAAAATGGTTTTGACACCTATGTTTATAGTCACTGCCTGTATAAGGACATGAGGAAATGACCAAAACACAAAGATCTGCAGAAACTTTGAGGTAAAAAATTGTTATTTTCCTGGCCACCCCTGTGTGAGTAGTAGTTCCCGTCTGGCCACCCCTGAGAAAAATGTCTGGCTCCACCACTGTGTGTTGGGGATAACCCTTAGTTACTACCCCAATTAAATTTAATTTATATGTATCCTCTGCTAGGGAAGTGTCCAGTGGGCATACCTATCAATTGCCTAAACCAAATTTTAGCCCAACATTTCTAACATTTTCTCCCCTTTGGGTAACCCCCACACTTGCTATTTGGCTATAAGGCTGATGTGTTGTGGCAGCTATCTTGAATATGGGTGACTCCAGAAAGTGTACAGCCAAAAAATACTTCCTAGGAATTACATTGACATTTGTATATTGGTTACAGACAAGATAAAGACAAGCCAACACATATGTGCAGACAAGGGCCAAAACATTATCACCTGCTTTTTACATGTGGATAATTAGCAGTAGTTTGACTAAATTAACAAACACATTTAGAGTTCAGGACATCAGAGGAGAACTGGATCATGCCTAAAGTGGTTTCTTTCATCTTGCTTTATGCCATAAACACTCTTTTATCCATTGAAACACACTGAAGTTTCCAACATGTTTTGTAAACTGCATTATCTTAGTGATTTTTTATTTTTATTTTGCTCTGTATTGATCTTGAAAAATCCCTGAAGGTTAGATCATGCCTGGAATTAATAAAAGTTGAAAAGACACAGCTAAATTGTCTATAGAAGTAGGATCTTAAAGTGTGTCCCAAATGATCAGTTATGTCAGATTCAAATCGATACAAGAGCGAGAAAAACACATGCAGGAGTCTTTGGAGACAAACGTGAAACATAGTGAATAATGGTAAACATAAAACAAAGTCAGCTGCATCTGTCAGACTTAGAAAAACAAAAGTACCTGACAAAACAGATGGTAATGTGATTAAATAATGTATGACTAAAGTTTTTCAATTCTGTTGGGTAGCAATGCATATTATAGCTCAGTGCATACCAGTACCGTGCGGTGAGGTTCATGGCTGAGGCACTCAGTCCATCAGAATCAGATTTAAAACACTACAGAACTGATTCACCATTCATTTGGCAGAAGTTAACAAGTTATGTTTCATACATCATTTCAGTATTCTTCACACAGACAAAATTGTATCTCACTTGATGTGCATTTCATTAAAAATGTCATTATGACCTTCATTTACTTATAAATGAAGTCACTATATCCCATCTGAGTCCAGATATTGTCACAAGTTTTAAAAAAGGCAGGGAATACATAAAAAAAACATCAAAAAGCAAAAATATGTAGGTCCACTGGATGGGTTCTTCTTTAGTGAAACGTTTCGTCTCTCCTCTAAGAGACTTCTTCAGTCTTCTTCAGATGAGTTTCAGGTGAACTCAGCTTTATAAGCTCCGCCTCCACATGGTGGACAAACAGGTTAGTCACATGCAAAAGAGGGCCATCGCCTAACAATAGGCTTGATTAGCTCTATTGTTCATAGAGGGTCATGTGCCCCATCACCTGACTTATTGGTTTGGATGCTTCGGCTGTGGTTATTTGGTGTTGTGTTATGTGTATGTAGTGAGTGCAAGCGGGGTTCAACGTCCCCTTGTTATTGTCTCTCTTTCCCTCTTTGTGTTGGTATCATTGGGGCCCTGATTCACACCTTTTGCTCACAGGGGCGGAGTCATACTTACAATAACAGCGTTGTAGGAGGAGGACGACTGGGCACGGAGGCCTCCACCTCTGTTTAAAGAAGAACCCATCCAGAGGACCTACTTATTTTTGATTTTTTTTCCACCTGGATTACTGAGATGCATCAGGATACATAAAAACAATTCTCTCAGAACATCCACACAGCCACTCTTTTTGTTTGAGAAGAGCTTTTGTCTCAGCTCTGGTGTGGGTCTTGTTTTTATTAGCTGCTGCACTTCGTAGTTAGAAATTATCTCAAACGCACATAGTGAAGCCTAGCTTTACCAGGTCACAGGTCAACTGGAGAAAACCTGAGGTTGCTATCTGAAAACGCTGTTGGAGTTATAGAGACTTAATAAGCCAAAAAAAAAAAGCACATTTACATATTTATGAAAATCTTTTCAACAATCCTAAAGAAATGTTTACCACAAATCAGTTTAGAGCAAATACATCAGGTCTGTAACAGTGTAAATTTACCTGTTGAATTTGTGCAATTACAACAGTGTTTCTTTAGCAACCCGAAAAACGTGAGCTCGGCTTGGGCGTGCATATTTGTGATAATTTCTAACTACAAAATGGTCTATTGAAAGTTCCAGTTTAGAAAATACCTATAAATGAACTATAATCCACCATTCTAAAAGTCAAACTGACAAGAGGGGAAAGAAAAGGATCTTTTTTCTACTTTATTAAACTAAGAGTTTATAAAACAGTTACTAAACACAATTAGCCACAGTCCTACACTTGGTAGGACTGTGTGTAACTTCACTTTACTACTTCTGCAGCTCAGAGTAACCTCTGGGCTCAGGAACTAACCCTGCAGCACCAGAACTGCCAGCCCCAACTTGTGTCTCTTCTCGGTTGTTTCAGCTCACAGAACACATTACACAAATAAATACTGCTATAGTATGCTATACACTTTAGCCAAACTTTGAAAAGTCAGGCAAAAACAAAAGGATTTGAAATATTTTACTGGTGACATACTGTATAGAGACACAACGACAGTCCCTTTTACTGAGTGATATAATGCAGCACATTGGATGGGATTGTGCAATACAAGTGGAGGCACAGCTTGCTGCAGCCTCAGGGTTTCTCTTAGCTGATATTTGAACAGGAAGTGAGACAATCTGTCAATTTTAAAGAAAATAACTTCAAAATTGTTTAACTTAAACAGAAATTTTGTTTATACTAGAAAGCACTGGATAAATATAACAATTTAATGTTTTATTTTTGTCTCTTTTTTTTTTCCATGTCAGCAGGTGAGACCCTGCCTCTAGTGACCACACATCACTGGTACATCCCTGACAATGTACCAGGTATGTACCATTTACTTTTTTAATATGTAACACACAAGTACAGGTCAACAAATTGCTTCATAAATCAACCTGGTCCCCTTGGGTACCAGATATGTACTTGGTACCTGGTATATACCTGGTACATAACAGGTACATGCCGAGTAAGTACCCTGTACTTAACAGAAAAGTACAAGTTAACAAGGTACTTCATAATACAGCTCAGTACCAGTAGACACCAGGTACATACTCTTAAATGTCCAGTATGTACCCTGAAAATTTAAGTAAACAAATCAATTTATAATACAGCCCAGTCCTAATAAGCACCAGATACCTGCAGAAACTTAAGATGTAAGTACACTGTAACAAGTCACTCTACATAACAGGTTGATGACTGAAGGTACAGGACTAGATATGTACCTGGTTCCTACTAGAAACTCACTGCGTATGCACCCTGTAAAAAGACACTTCAAATTATAAAGTACCTAGTACCCTAAATGAAGGTGCCATGTGCATACCGAGTACTTACCATTTAAGTATCAGGAGATTCACCAGTAATTATCAGATATGTACTCAATGCTTATCTGGTATCTACACGGCAGGATAACATGTCCCTTCATAATACAGCCCTTTCCTCGTAAGTACCAAGTAATTACCAAGTACCTACTAAGTCTGTACTCAGTACAGTACCAAGTACCGTAGCCAGCTGTATTCTGTATTGCTCCCTCGTATTGATACTTGAATAATACTGTCAAAACAATATAGTTAATATGCTTATTGGAAATGAGCCACATTGAGGACTTAACTGAATTAGGATACTTAATGAAAACTAATCCATGAATATTCTCACAGAGACAGTCGGTTCAGATTGCAATCAGTGAAGGAATATGGGCCATCATTTACTGCAGGGAAATTACAAAACAAAAGGCTTTGGATGAAGCGTTTATGCAAATGTATGCAACATTTCTTCTTGTTACACAAAACGAACTCCTGATGTTTTTGTCTGTGCATGTGATTTGCCATGAAAATGAGGAGCAGTGAATGCAGTTTGTCTCACTTCCTTTTACAGCTCAGACCGGCCATGATTATTGCCCGCTGCCAAAAAAACGAAAGGCAAGTGATGACATTTTTGCTTGTGTCTGTTTGTTTGTATGTTTTTTTTTTTATAAAATGTCTCTTGAACCTCTGAAGGATTTAATCAATAAATGTAAATGTACAACCTATTCAGAGTTGTTGGCTTGTTTCAATTCTGACTTGTTATTACACCTCCTGAATAGATTGAATTTAACTGTGGTTGAATAAGAAGTATAAATATACCATTTTGACACCTAACTGGTTTGTACAGTCCATCACATCTGGACATGACATGCATCACACTCCAGCAGCACAGACATAGAGTATAAAGATTATCACGGCAGAGATATGTTTACATGCAGCTGAAACAGGTAGAATAGTGCATCCAAAATGTTTTCAACATTAACATCTTAATATCACATCATAGTCATTATGGTCATTAGAAAAAATTTTTTTAGGGAGGTCACATCTCAATAAATGTTATTTTGAAAATTCTAACCTCTCATTTTGACTAAATACATTTACTTTTTATATTTAAATACATTTTATATCAGAACTTTACTTTTGATGCTTAAGTACTAGGGGTGCAAAAATACATGTACCCGTATCGAACCGTACACACTTGTATCGAACAATACAGATTTTTTTTAAAAAGAAAAAAAATTATATAGGTCCTCTGGACGGGTTCTTCTCTAATGAAACGTTTCATCTCTCCTCCAAGAGACTTCTTCAGTCTGAGAGTTTCAGGCAATTTTTTTTACATTATTTTATGAACTTGTCTTCTGAAGATGCTCTGTGTTGAAGGATCAGTGGATCTGTGTTCGACTACTCCACCTAGGCTGTATTTTTGAGCGCAGATCCACTGAGAAACTTGCTGTTTCAGCAACATTTAAGTTTAAATTTAATTTAAAAATGGTACTTTTAAGGTTAAACAAAAGTTCATAAACTAGAAGCACTCGGAGAGTGCAAACCTCAGCCAAGTCCAATTTCCCCCATCCTGTAAGAGTTAATGCACAAAAGCAGAGATGGAAACACATTTGCTGAATAAGTTCTGACGTAGCGAACATTTAAGCAGCAGTATGCACGGGGTTTCTTCTCGGTGGAGTCCAATGTGAAAAAACAAGTCAGACTCATCAATCGACGTTATTCATGGTCAAACTGGTGTGGGATTAAGCTCCTAAGTTTTCATCAGTCACATTTCACCATGTAAAACATCTGTTTTATCCCCTTGTATGAGTTTGTAATGGTTTGACTCTCTTTATAAAGTGCTTCCTGGCTCCCCCCGTCTCTAAACTTTGAGGCCCGGCCAGAATTTAATTGTGTTTGCATGAGAAGTATAAATAAATACCATTCTGACACACTATTAGCTTGTACACAACCCATCACAGCTGCACGCCATTAGAAAACATATTTTTTGGAGAAGTCACCTCCCAATAAATATCATTTTGGAAAATCTAACTGCTCACTTTTACTCAGTACTTTTACTTTTAATATTTAAGTAGATTGTGTCAGAAATTCACTTTTGATACTTAAGTACAAAAAATATTAGATACTTTAAGACTTTTACTCAAGTAATATTTTTAGAGAAGACTTTAAATTTTGCCAAAGTATTTTTATGATTAGGTACTTGTACTTTCACTCAAGTATCACTTTGAGGTACTTTATACCAGTGTTTCCCAAAGTTGGGGTCGGGACCCCACATCAAGGTGGGGTCCTGAAAAGATTTTCTGAATTAATTACATTTTTGTCTTAGTTGTTACAAATGAGTTAGGTTAGTGTATTTAAAATGGATAAATGTAGTATAAAAATATTATTACTATGCCCATGTTTAGTTGACCTGATACAAATGTTTATCATCCAAAAACAGCTGGGGGCTCAGGTCTCTGCTGTTATTTTGTGGGTCAAAAGCTGAAAAGTTTGGGAACCACTGCACTTTGGTTCCCAAAGTTGGGCTTGGGACCCAATTATGGGTCATGAAGCACCTTGGATAATCTCCAGAAATCAATTTAAAGGGTAATAAAATAATTGCTGATGTGATATTTTCCCTATAGTTATTACAAAAACACAAAATAAGTAAAAAATAAGAATTTATATTTGTGTATAAGCTGTTTAGATTGTCAAAAAGCCTGTGTTTTTAGGGTTATTAATGAAGTTTGTGTACTCAGACCAGTAACATTTGGGGTCACAAGTTTTTGCCGTGGATATTTTGTGGGTCAGAAGACAAAAAGTTTGGGAACCACTGCTTTATACAACACAGTCTAAGCATTTGGCATTAAAAACAGACAGTGAGAAGAATTTTACACGTGTAACATGTGCAACTCCTAAAGAAATGAGCTGCATACAATAAAATCAAAATATAATGTGTCTAATTTTTAATTATTTATATTTGTGGAGGCCTTTTAATAAATAAGCTCCTAGTCAGCAATAAATCCAGTTTACCCTGTGACTAATTAATAAATGCTCCTCCATTTGTATTGAGCAGCAGCTTGTGGTTTCATATAGCAGCCTATATATGGTCATATTGATCAATGCCACAGCTGCAGCAGTGATCAAAAGCAACACATTTCTTATGTGCAATAAAATCAAATTAACTGCAAAAAGGCAGTTCATTAAATGCCAGCATTAATGGATGTGTCTGCCGTGACTAATGACGCTGCAGACAAACACTTTACTATGCTAACGTTACACCGGAGTTTTCCATTATTACTGTGATAACAAGGTCAGCCCACAATAAAGAAGAAACAATCACACACAGAAATACAGAAGGCTGCAGTGATTGTTGCTTTGCACAGGGTTCTTTACTGTTAGAGTGGCATATTTATCGCCCACCACCAACGTGTTGAGGACAATAATGTTTTTGCCTTTGTGTCTCTGTCTGAGAGCAAAACATCTCATGAGCTACTAGACAAATTTTAACGAAACATTCAGAAAACAAGACACCGCAAAACGGTAACATAATGACCCCCGCACTCACAAATACACCAGAACTCAGAAGTCTTTATTCCGAATAAATGTCATGCTACTAGGTGCATCCTAAAATTGTAGTGGCTTGGGTGGGGGTCTATTTTTTGAGGGGGGGCATTGGTTGACCTGATGGACAGTCCCTCATCAGAGCTAAACAACCAAAGAAAATCTGAAGCTCCTGTGTTTAATAGTTTTTGAGCAATAACCATTTTTGTATGTCCAGATACCACTTCTTCAGATAAATTGGGGGTCCGGGGGGTGGGGGCACTGATTGGTTGACCTGATGGATAGAGCTTCATCAGAGCTAAACAACAAAAGAAATCTGAAGCTTCTATGTTAAACAGTTTCTGAGTTATAAGTGATTTTGCATGTCCTGACACCCCCACTTTGAAAGGAGCCCCCTCCTCAAATATGGGGTCTATCGTAAAACCGTTGGCTGGCGCAGTGTAGGTCGGACTTATCTACAGTCCTGCCAAATTTCATGTTGATCAGTGCAGCCGTTTTTGTGCTACGGTTGACCAAAAATCACTGGAAAAAATAAATAAAAAGTATGAAAACAATATGACTCCTGCTTACGTTTCGCATGCGGGGGTCATAATAACTATTGAAAAAGCATCTACTGTACAGCCGATTAATGTCCACATTCACCTTGATTCAAGCTGAACAACACAACCAACTGAGATTCAGAAACACAAAAACTACTTTGTTGCAGTCAGATACAGTATTGTGCTAAAATTTGTTCTTAAATTTGGAGGTTCTTCTTCCATGAAGCAGCTCTGTTGTCCTCCATCCATATTTTCAGTTCCAGGCTGAGTCATTTCTACCT